TAGCATTTTCAATGAAGGAAAAATTATATTTTTTAAAAGTTAAAAAGCTATCACATTTTATCTGTGTTCGGGAGATTGATTCCGACCATCTCAACAGTGAAGTCTGGCATTTAGATCTCATAAAAAGGTGTCAATATCTTTTGTCCATCAATGAATTTATTGTAAATAAAATCACATAAAGATTAAAAAATATCTCGTCACAATTTACTGACTGTTGGAATTTACTATTGAGTTTTCATGGAGCAATGCTGGTGTAGTGGTTGGAACTCTTTTTTCGTTGTGGAACCACGGGTTCAAATTCATCCAATTAATCACAAAATGACTTCAGCATCGGGATATTTATATGACCCACATTTAGATCGCAACTTTAGTGAAGACCCACCTAGGAAGTAAAGTTAAATGAAACTGAAGTTTAATTAAACTCATGATTTTTACTACTCCTCCATTAATAATGGACGGATTTTTAAAGACGATGTGTCAAAATTAGGTATTTTTTTGTATAGACGCCCTCTTTCACCGATTCCTGTAATAAAAGTCCTCGGGCTTTGCCCCACAGGCCATCAAAATCCCAATGTATTTCTTATGAAGAAAGGATTTTGTTAACTTAAAGAGACTAATAATTTGTATTAATTTCAGCTGCTCATAGTAAACACATGATACACACAAGAGCGTTCGTTTTGTGGAGTGATTGATGACTAGGTTTTATCTATGACATTATCTTTGAGTCGACTCTTTAAAGTCATCGGAAATTATGACTGCACTGGTAATAAAAATATGCGTTGTGTTAAGAGATTTTTTAGTTACAATTAATTCAAATTTAAAATTATGGTTAACCCGATTGAATTTATTTATTGCTAATGGTCCGATTAACGTCGGGTTTCTATCACGACTATGGATCCATTAACTATTTACATGATACTAGCATTGACTACAAGACCCACCTCCTCGCTCTTAATATATTGTTTGTTTTTAGGGGGATAAAAATACTTAAGGGTCCCAAACCACTGTATTGTAACATAAACTAAAATCTTCAATATTTAAATTCCTACCAAGACACGAGTTTCAATATAAATTAGCATACATCGATCCATAGCATCATTAAACAAATACTATATTATGCTGTTACTAATCAGAGAACATCCCCAATTAAAAAGTAATTTAAAACAGAGAGAAGGGTAGAATTTATACTTCATTAGCGCATCATCCTACCCTACATGTAATCAACTAATCCAGTTAGAGCTAACAAGAGTAACCCCTTTAGCTGTTGATTCGCTGCCATTTGAGTTTTAGATCACCGAATTGGCAATTCCGCCTCAGTTATACTCTGCTCGAAAGGGAAGTGGATTACAGGTTGTTTCTGTCGACAAACTTTATTTCACTGTCCAGTACTTCCTGTTTGTGTACTGCATGTCCATTATGGTGAAGAGTTGAAAAATAAACTGCATCAGCAATCTGACAATTCCTATTTCCCATTAGCTTGTCATCAACACTTTTAATGGGTGGGATGGGAGTAACTATGACATTTTGTGGGGAAAATCACAAAAATTACGATAACTTTTGAACCATAATGTGTGTTGTATAGTATTATTTAGAGTTAAAAGGACTATAACTTACTAAATTCTAAACAAAATCGTATGGGCCGGCTTTTATGAAAAAACGATTTTTCTGTTTTGTGGAGAAATAATAAAGATGAGGGAATAATATCTTGCAATTTGATGATACTTTAGATGGGGCTATAGAATACATGTATTCTAAGATGTAATCTATAGTCTCGTACTTTAGCTCAAGTAACCCTCGTTGATGTTTATGACTCTATAGAGAAAGATTATAAATAATTGATGAGTAACAGAAGGAGAATGAATGGCGATAACGGACATTTCAACAGATAAGGTAACACGAGGTATACCTACCCCTCCCTGAATGTGTAAATAATTTAAATATCCACCCCACGAATTGCGATACTTCATTCAAAATTTTAAAATATTAATTGAAAATAGTCCCTAGTAGTAATTTTAACTGTGTATTTGTAATTTATTCTAAAATAATATTGATAATTATTGTACTTGTGTTTTATTTAATTTGTTATTAAATACATGTGCTCATGTGCACACATGAAGGTACAATTATATAGCAAAACGACAAATTAATAATCAATTCATTGGATTACCTTTGTTGTTGCCTGTGTTCTTCAGCAGCTAAATATGTTTAGGTGGCACAAACTATGTCCTTACCTTCTCAAGAACAGAAGTACTATATATTATGTTTTAAACTTGGACCGACAAAAAAGGAGGAAATTATCAACTTTACTTTTTCTAACGAGGGTCTTTATAACATTTAACAGTATATTTTTTTGACTGGATAGGGTTCAAAATCTCAACGATAAATGAAAAATGGTGAATCAATAATGGGAATTTTCTATAAGAGAGTTTTAAGGAAGATATCAACTAGATTGGTCGTTCAATAACTTAGTTTTGGTAGGGCAAAATAAAAATAATTCAAATGAAAAACAATCATAGTTAAAAAAAACCGCCCACGTGTTTAAATAGCTCATTGTAGCATACTGATTTTTATTAAAAATTTGATGGCAACTGTTACATAACATTGTGCTCTACGACACCTGAAAAATGTTAACTTTCTTTATAAGTTCTTTGGTATAGTTGATAAATTGTTCGAATGTTTGGTTCCAAACGATTCAATGTTGCGAAAAACTCTTCTTTGCATGATTGTATTTTCACAAACGTAAACACGTGTTGTTGGCTCATACAGTACAACAATTTGATGTATAACGTGACAATGTTGTTCGAGAACCGGGTTTACGCCTGTAGGAAATGTTTACAGATTTTTCCGCGAGAGAGAAAGTTGGACTTTAGAAACCCGACATACTCAAGTTTCATGTTCGTCAGCCAATCATAGCTCGAGTCTTCCCTAGGGATTGGGAAGGATTAGGGATTAACCGGTGTCACGTTCGCGCGCGAGGGAATTGGAAAAATGTCATCAGCTGATAATCTGCCGCCAAAACCAATTACGCGGGACCCGGCCAATGATAAATGATTGGTTCCGGGACTTACAAGTTTTCCCTCCGATTGGCTTCGTGGGGGAAGTCTGGAAAACAAGAAGACGTGATGGCTGATTGGACTAAATTGAGATATTTTTGAGCGGTTGTAAAATTTCCACTGACATGGACTTTTTGACAGAACTTGATCGTTGGAACAAAGATGTGTTATAAGATAACCGTCGCTAAGTGATCATTGTCCTCACCCATCAGATCAGCCAGAACGTTGCCAACATTTGGTTTAATTGATCCAGGCTGTGTCAAATCCCTAGCTGCCAAATTCGGCTGCCAAACAAAGCTGCGTTTTTTCGGCACCGACTGAATACTCAAGGCTCAAGTACATTTTTATCAGCAGCCGATTTCGGCAAGGAAAACTCAGTGCTTAAAAGACTCGTATGACATTCACATTGTCGTAACAGTATTTGGCAGTTGAAAACATTGAAAACTCGTCTTAAACCAGTACAAACCTCAGTACTTTATCTATCATATAATTTATATAACATTCATCATACACTCGTCTTAGGTTTAAAATACACGCCATGTTGTGTCAAATTTGTGTACACATTGATATATATTACTACAATAGAGTTGTAGTAATAGAGATCGATGGTGTAAGTTAATAGGTAGGCATCACTATGGGAAAATGTAATACTTGGGTAAAGCGAAATTACAAATCATGTGACATTTCATAAATGCAGCTGAATTTACACTTATTGATTCAATCTTTCCCCATCATTTTACGGGTAGACATTCATAACCGCGATAATTTATTATGTATTTTTGGTGCTGCGAATATCAGGCTTCTAGTGGTAATTTCGTATATCAGACACGCTGCGCCTTCAACTCTTGCAAGACAATGCCATGCACAAATGTCGTACATTATGCATATCTGACCTGGGAGGCATTGATTTAATGCCACCAGGAGAGATTACATTTCTTTATCATGTCTAGGGTGAATATTTAGGTTGAACGCGTGTTCGCTTTTGTCTTGCCTATGTTATGCCCCTTACCTTTGCGTAAATCATTATTGAATTTTGGAGACCAAATATTTTATTGGCGAAATTAAATTTTTGTATTCGCTGAATGTAGCCTGTTTTACGAGCCAATCCCACACACAGAAGTTTCTTCCATCATTTTGATAACGCAAAACTATTTTCTGTTGATAGTTTTAATTCGCCTGAATAGAAATATTAATTAAACACTAAAGGGATCATTTTAAAAAGACGGATATAAAAATTAACTTCTATAATCAATGGTAAACACTATTCATGAGAATATTAAAAGCCGTTACCGTTCATCATAATAATGTTTCAGTCTGCTTACAAATGACACAGATTACCAAACGAGGCCCTATTCTACTTTGATTTTAAGGTATAGTTAGAAATTTGTTAAAAACAATGCACACGTTTTGAATGATAAGCCATTATTTATCAAACGAGTAAAAAGTAAGTAACTTAAAACTATTTTCTTAGTAAGAAATGAAAGTAAAAATTATAAAAGTAGATTAGACGTGATCATCTTGCATTGAAGTCGTAAAATTCAACCTTTCGAAATCGCTCAGGTGCAACGCGGATTAACACATCTCGACTGTCGAAAGTACAAAGCGAGGTAAAATTCGTCACTTGACAAAAAGTTAACTGAGGTGAAAACGTGAATAGAAGTATAATCCCTGGATGTGAGAGAAGGGATCTGTGTAGTAACAGACCGTTCCGACGGGTAATGTCGGGGAGGGGGGAGCCAAAACAGAAAAAGAAGCAAGCGTCAGACATGCCTTTCTGTCTGTGGCGCGCGGCATTGTGATTGTGAGCGAGCGTCAAAAACGGGGGGGAGGAGGAAATCCGAACGTTACCGACTACACCCGAGGCGACGCGCCCCGGAACCGTCCGAACTCACCCGAACACGCTTTGTTGTATGCAACTTTCCCGAGCGATTTTAGTTGTTTACCACCCGTCGTTGTCGAGTGAGTCGCCGAATCTCACTTGACGTTCGCGTTTTACACTCGGTAATCAACAATCTCGCCATTTGCTAACCAACTCGTTTCAAACTATGCGTTCGTCGTACACGATAGGCCGGTTGTGTTTGTGAACAGTTACGTTTCTTTGTCCGCGAAGGTTTTGTTCGTTCTATTTGTGTCTGCGGAATGCTCACTCCCGGCGTCTGCTGTTAGCTCTCGTCCTGTCTCTAGTCTGTGACCGCGGCATGTGAACGTGTTGTCAGTTTCTCGGTAGTGTAGTGTTTTGTTTATGTTGTGATCATGTCTCGCGTGTTTTCCGCTGTTCGTGTTGTGTTGTTTGTGTGTTTGTTGGAAGAGTTTGGCGTCTGGGCTCAACTGAAAGATGGTGCGGAGTATGGTAACCATTGGGCCACCTACTACGAACAGCCTTGCTGTGCGACCAAACGACACGTTCGACATCATAAAGGTGATAGTTCGGGGAACTGTGTTAGTCATTTCGCTACGTCAGAATTACAGATTGAGCATTTAGCTGGTTAGGTTACTTGGTTAGTTGATAACTTAGGTTAGGTAGGCCTATTAATTCAGTCAAAGTAAATTCACAATTTAAATTAGCCTAGTTAATTAAATGTTTTACTCTATTTAAGTAAATACGAGTAAAGGCTAACGCAATCTCATTTGCATTGTGTTAAGTAATGTGTAGACCTACTAACACGTAGACGAAACTTCTTATTCAAGTCATCGTTACTTCGTTGTGTAGACAAAGTTAGACGTTATGAGTTATAAAAATCGTAAGTTAATCATCAATCGTACTTTAAAATTGGTACGGTACTTGCGTAAAGTATTAATTAATTAATTGGTTAAATTTACTGATCGTAAGCTTATAAATCCTGTATAAATTAAGGTGGGCCTAATTTGATCATAGATGGCTAAGTTAATGCCTACGCTGAGAAAGTTAATTGTAAACAAACCTTCTAAACCTAAGTTACCGTGTACGCCTACATACTGGGTATAAAACGTTTTCCAATGCTCATACCTAACTTGGACATTTTTATGGGTTATGGGTTTTTTAATTGCAATACCGTATTTATTAGTAACCAAATCAAAATGTTTTTCTCAGTTAAGTTATATCATTGACTAGGCCTATAAGTTTAACACAATTTTGTTTTATTTATACAAATGTAAATGAAACGATGAGAAACTTACACTTTAGGTTAAACATAAAGACCAACCACAGGCTTGCTTCCTTAATTTGCTTCACCGGAGATATAAATAATCTTGAAAGGTCACTTAAAACAATTTAATTATTTTTTATTATTATTGGTTAGCCTATTAGGGACGCCACAGATGTGCGTATTTTACCCAAAAAACGAGCGAAGGATGAGTGTAGATTGTGTAGATAGGAGTAAGATGCCTTGTGTAGCTTTGTTACTGACTAATACCAGCTGTTTCATTAGTACGGACCTTTTTTTACAAACCCTAAGAGCAGGACCAACGATGTAAAGAACTACAGCTGGGCATCTGGGTCTTAATTTGAAGCATCAATGACTAATGAGCTACTTAACACAATTTTTTCGGGATTTCAGGATCTAACCAAAGCCGACCTTGTAATCAATTATTGATGGAGACGCCACTATGTGCGTAATTTAACCCAAATATGAGATGAGGGAATGATGACTAGGCGGCACTCCTTTTTATGCTAGGCCTATAACCACTGAGCTACCCAGCTTAAACTTTTCGAAGATAACAGGGTGAAGATTTATTTTGCAACTGGGCCTAGTACTAAATCCCATAGTCATCGCATTTTGTTTTAAAATGGGACTAACCTCCTTGCGTAGACTAGACTAACTTATGTTTGTTTTTACCGGACCCATCTTGATAGTGATTCAATAATTTATCGTAAAAAAACTTAATTTGACAATTGGGGATTTCAACATCTATTCAATCGTGATTTTAGGAATTTTTATAAAGTTGTTTCTAGACCGCGGTTTATGAACCCCTGCAGTTTTATGACTCTCAAGTTTTGGCAGCTTACAACTTTAAAAAGTAAACTTTACTTTGCGGCACGTTTAGTAACATAATTGCAGTAGATCACGCCATTATAGTTCTTATGCCGTTATTTCTTTGGGTTAAATTCGCTTGACGTGCATGTCAAAGTCTTGTCGACAGGCTTGCGTGCGACAGCAACGCGTGTAGTCACGTGTAGTTCGCCCAAGTTAGTTATTAACGTTATTTTTTAACGGTAATTACGAATAATGTTACGGTAAACGCTTTTATCTCGCTGTCTTATAAACATTTCGTATGTTTATGCTACGAAAATGATGCAGTGCCATTTAAATGTCAGGTTAATCACAGCGAGATTGAATAACATGCAATCGTGGTTTGGCCCTAGTCAATAAGTTAGCTTTTGTGGCTTTTTGATGCATCGACTCTGGCCTTGGCCGTCCTCAGACATTTTGTCCTACGTTAATGGAGTAAATATCCTCTTCGTTGCATAACACTTACAATCCTTAACCTATGCCATTTAATGCATTGTTATTACCGTACCTAGTCGGTTTAAAGTACCTAATGGTGTGGTAGAATTAACTGTTACGATTAATTTATAAGTAGTAGGCTAATAAAGGTATATATAAATGAGTCAAGCACTGTAGTATTAAATTGTAAAGTAAAAATGCGTTTATTTACACTTTTTGGTTACGTAACGATCCATCGGAGTGTCAAAATCGAATAATTAGATTAAACACCCGTACAGTCAAATTCGAGGAGTTTAAACTGGTCTTAAAGGGTAATTTTTACTGATCGATTGCGTATTATTTAAGAATTCCTTTGGTTGCAAACTAAACGTATTTGAGTTCCTGTAGGGCTAGATTGAAAAGAAATATTTTTTCCTTAGTATAAGTTGAAGTTTTCGATTAGAGATTTAATCTGAGTAACTAAGCACGTTCTGTTAAAAAAACGTCCAGGTTAAAAATAAATAATAATAAATGCTTTGAAACAATCCTCTAGTAGTGCAGGGAAGTTGCCGTAGCTGCTGATCAATTAAAGCATGTTCGAAAGTCATCTCCATCTCAATAATTGTTAAGAGCGTTGAGATGACTTTAGAAAATTCTTGATCAAATCAGTTATTGATTCAGTTAGTGGTAATAAAATGAACCAAGACGATACCAAGATTTCCACGGTGTTATCGTAGACTTGACTCAGTGAAGAGAATTTGTCAACAGAGCGTTGTTGACTTTGATAAGACCGTCCGGACGGAAACGCTTCCTTACAATGTCTCATCTGTTCTTTGTCAAACTAACTGATGAATTCTTCTCTCTATCACCATTGTCTTCACTAAGTTAAGATCCGTTACTGTTTATTGTTAACGTTAGGGAAACGAAATATAGGCTTGCCGATCCATGATCGGATTGAAGTTCCATTACAATATAATTTATTGGATTTAATGTTTCATAGATTAGCATTTACTCGTGGCCTTTTAAGTGGGGTAGCATTGAAATGAAAAAAAAACTCATGGCGGAATATCTTTCTAGGTAAAATATATAGGTACCTAGCCAAAGTCGCTCCGCTCATGATCCATGTGGATAAAAATACGAATGTAATTCTATCTTGTTGAAGTTTTTCAATTGCTTACTATAGGTATACCTAAATGTATAAATAGTACAGTAGGTTAATTTGTTTTTCCGTAATTGAGAACATAGACCAATGCATTTAACGTACCAAGGAACACAGGGGTAACACACGTAGTAGGGAGGTTTTTTCAGGAACTTGCTTTACTAAAATTAATTAGGCCTAATTGGTTGTTATGTTGGTTGACAACTATAAACGGATGCACTACATGAGTAATGTACATACAGTAGGTAGGCGGTGCAGTACTATCATGTAGTTACTGTAGGCGGTATCCCATGGGGGTTTCTATGCGGTGTAGCCTCTATGGCGGGGTTGCTTAGTAGGCTACGTTACACTTTTTTATAATTTTGTATCCTTAGTTTGCAACAATAATTATTTATATTCGTGTCTATATAGGCTATCATAAAATCCTCTGCTAAGGTAAAGCATTCTAGTATTTTAAACTAGGTAGTGACGGGAAATGTGTTACAATAGGGAAATTGTTTGCTGTGTAATTAATTAAAAAAAGAAAAGAAAAAAACAATAGCTTAAACACGTAATGTTTACGCCAAACCAAATCAGATTGGTTAATTTCATGTTCGCGTTTTCAAACCATAAAATATTTAAAATTGCACCAATTTATACATTACTGGTGGGCTAAATCCATTTTATGAATTTGCCAAAAGTTGTATTCATGATTTATGGTTAAGTCTTATTCAATAAAATCACAAAATTAATTTAATATTTGTCAACATAGGTGTGTGAACTCTTCCTTAGCAATAAGTGAACTGAAAGCTCTTCATTTAGAATTTTAAATTGCGAAAACTTCAGTTAGGGTTAAGTCGTATTTATAAAGATTGTAGGCTTAAATAAAATTTTAACTACGATAAAGATTTAAAACATCAAACTCAATTCATTTAAAGAGGTTAGACCTTATCGAGCATAATAAGCCCATGTTTCAGACGCAAACAAATTACCACCGGTATATTTTTAGAAAAAAGAGATTGAACTAAAATAATGTAGAGTTCAAATAAACGAGGGAATAAATCAAAGAGCGCTTAAACTAATTACAACTCATTGGAATGTTTCAAATAATTCTCTGAAAGTTATAAATAGCTTAAAAACTTGTTTGTGTAATGGTTTTCAATAAACATTTGAGATGTTGTGATCAGAAAACACAGTAGCCTAGGCTATCATATTTTTTTGTTTTCTTAAGGCCGGTCTACACGCAAGGATTTCGCGAACGTTTTATCTGCGCAGGTAAAACGTTGCAGTCAAGTCGTTGCAAAGAAATGCGTCCACACGGTACAGGTTTCAGCACCAACTTTTAGTGCAGTTTTGTGATAACTTTCAGTGTATGTGCATGTAATATCATGGAAGATGTGTTTTTGTTGGCAATTTCTGCAGCCAGTGTTACAAGTAAGCAAAGAAATAAGTCTGAGAGACGACGGCGCTCGTATGGTCAAGACGTTGGTTACTAAAAAGACAACAAACTTCACAATAGTTTCTCTTTTCACGTTTGAATCTACTGCTTTGCATTTTTTTTAAAGTATTTAAGTCTTTTTTCTTATTACAGTCACTATGTAATAAGAATTTTTATGTAACATATTTTTATGTACTAATAAGAATTCTTACTCTTGACCCTCCATAATAAGGACACTTCTGGACAGTTCGATGAATTCAACAATAAAATCACGGGAACATTGGCGAAGATCTGCGATCGTAATTAAAAAACACACTTATACCTCTGACAGCACGTGAAGACAACGCTGCATACTGGGGTTTTGAGCGTGAAGACGGAGTTAAACCGGATGACAGTGTCCACACGCAACGACTTGTCTGAAAACGTTGTCAAAACTATGC